TCCCCTGCTACCAAAACCTCACCACACAAACGCATCACATTATGAAACAAGGAAAATTTATTGTGGAAGAGATTTAACAGAAGCATCAACTTTACTGTAATATCAATTCCATACTGGTCAGTCACATTTGGATTAATTAATGTATATGTGGGACTAGTTAAATAAACCAGAAGGGGTAAAGTACAGCCCTTGCGTTCACAGAAAGCTTCTGTTACCAAAATTCGGGCTGCATCTTCAGTGGGGCTACAGGTGGGGAGCTACTCACCTCAGTTCAATCAGTAGTTTAGACTTTCTTTGAAACTGTAGCAATAAATATTGCAATTTTTGTTATGTTAGTAGGGTATGATTAAAATTAGGTTTAAGAAGTATTCTCCATTTGATTTCACCATCATTCATTTTAAAAAGAAAGTAATAAACCAAGAAATACAAAAGTACCTGGTATTTTGGGGAATTAAATGTATTCTTCCTGATGTTTGATGACTCAATTGGAGTGATTCTTTCGTACTTGGTTTCACTGAAATTCTTACTGCTGTGGTTTAATACTTCTCAAAACGCACTTTGCAGGTTTTATCTTTTATTGATACAACAATAAACACAGCAACAACTGCATAGCTTAAGGTGTAGAACTACTCAGGGATTCTGTCCATACTAGGAAATGGTTGACAGGCCATTGCAGGGGAGACTGCACGACTGATACTCTTATAGCTGTTTCTTGTGCATATGCATGCTATGAAAGTCAAAGTCAGTACAAATAAATTGTTTTTACTGGATACTTAGTTGGCTTTAAGGCATAATAAACCCGAATCATTAACTATAAACTGAAGAGAAATGCTTAGGTTTATGAAGTGAAAAACACTCTTTTGGAACCCAATGAAGTCTTCAGCATCAGAAGTTCTGGTAGACATAATGTAAGAGCAAGGAGTTCACAGTTTTCAGTAAAGAGGGGAAACAAAATTTAATATTCTGACCATACCAAAGCAAACAGCATAATATATTCATTTTTAACATTGCACATTCCTAAAACTACCACAGCTTTATGTACACTTGTATCTTTGATTTGTGTTGTATTATATAACCTGTACGTTCAAATTTTACAAGAAATTCTTTGAAATTTAATGGTTTTTGCTAATTTATGCTTTTTCCTATTCTTTTGGGATTCTCTTTGGGGTTCTAGATTGACATCTGATGATATTTACATAGTTGTTTATTGAGCTAAGTGCAGGATTTTTCATTATAGCATTTTCCCTCGTCTGGTGTGCAAGTTTGTGAGAATTTTTGCAGTTCTGTTTAGAATGAGTTAAATATTGTTCTCCATGTCCTTCAGTTTTGTTGAAAACCAGTTTATATCTTCATTAGTTTAGTGCCCAGAAAAATGCCAATGTTGAATATAAGAGGGTCTTTGATATTGAATGACAACCTGTATGACATGAGTCATTTGGGATTGGTAGGAAATATCCTGCTTTACATTTCAGCATATATTCACGAAGTTCAACTTCTGTGATGCTACAGATCAGGAATTAGGACCTTACATACTTCTTTTAATACTAAAAGTTTACCTTAAGGAACTGACAATAAAATAAAAATCAACTTGTATTACTATAACGTGCCTATTATAATTTGTCCTTTGGATGTACAAGAAATAAGCATGTAGTAATAATTTTCTTTTTAGAAAAATCTCTGGTTGAGGAATTATGAGTGTCAATGTTAACTGAAAAAAAAAAACAAAACCAAACCCACAACCCAGCCCTGATTTCCTCTACTGAATTATTTAACTTCGGAAGAATACATTGTTACCTAAATTTTCAGTCTTATGATTTACTTTAGTTTATGTGTGCAGTAGAAATGATAATAATTACTGACAAAAAGGTGAGGTGATTCTGGTGCTGTACCAGCAGAAAAATGGTAGAGTATTGAGTGGGAAAAACTTCGATTTAATTTTGCAATTTTTTTCTGACTTTACATAAAGTTGAACTTACGAGTGCAATGATGATCTGCAACCCATACTTTTATCAGGGGTGAATTTTGCTAGCTGAGGACACGAGCATTGTGGCAAGGAAAGTTTTTGAATTATTACTTTTTTCTAAATGATAGGTCTTTGATTAATTATTGACTAATAGTTGCTACATAATTGCTGAATTATTAAATTGCTCTCGTGTCCTGCTGTTTCCTATATACCAGGAGCCCTAGCTTTATACCCTAAAGAATTAGTTGGCAACTTGCCAAATCTCAGGGGCTGCTCACACTCTCTTTAGAATTTATGAATAGAATGGTAAATGCATATTATGGTAATATTGGCTGTACTTCTGTCTCTGCTAATAGACAATAAGAAAATGTTTAGTCATCTGTATGCTTGCCGTAAAAGTTGATGAATACTTCGTGATGTAAAGAGCGTTTCTGTAATTATAGAGAATTTACAAAGGGTTACAATTTCTGTCTGGGAACAAAGTCTTCACTTGAAATAGGAAGTACTTGAATTCTTATCTTTTCTCTTTGATTACTAAACTTAAATGAGAACGTCATCTTTAATCCTTGTGTTTCATTCCTGAGGTAGGAAGAGACTGTTCTTCGGGCAATGTTCGGGCTGATCATTTATATACCTTGTGTCCTGTTGTGGATTTGAGCTAAGATGAATTTTGTGTAGTCTAGAAGATATTTTCATCGTATTTCTTTTGGCTTTTGAATTGAACTTGCACTTTTAGTTAAGTGTAATTCATAAATTTGCTGTTTTCTAGCTCATCTGAACTAGAAGGCTAATTTAGCAATCGTAATGTTTAGATTAGAGTCTAAGCTGTCCTGTGGCTATGAACATAACATTGCAAAACAAAATAATTGGTCTCCAAAAAATGTTAATATTCTAAATGACTAAAAGGCAAAGTTCTGGTGTCATTGATGACATTTTAAAAGTATTGCTGACTTTGTTAAATGAACATTAAGGATCTGTTCTATGAGCTGCTGAATATTGTCAGTTCCTGTTGACATTAGTGGCAACTGAAAATCCTTTAGCACCTTGTATAATTGATGTCAAGACTGATCTCAAAGCCAGTGACATTGAAAATGAGGATTTCCCACAACAACGATAGGAAACAGTCTCACAATTTTCAAGTAGTTGATGTTAATTGCCAATAATTATTCTAGCCGCTGATAGTTACAAGCAGAGCTACCAATTTTGAAAATGACTTGTAAACAGTCACACCTTGTATTCAATGTGGAAAGGTTACAGTTAGAAAGATTTTTTTCTAATTTTCTCTCTTTCATTTTTTTAAATAGTTTCGTTTAGGGTTTTTTTCAGTGGAAGCTGCAATGAGTGGAAGAATAAAAGGTTTTGACTAATTGTTTTATCTGTTGTCCATTCTCGTTGCATCAACATTAATTATTCTTGATGTATTTGTTCTATAGAAACCTTGTTTCTATTGCTGACAGATGGAGTTCTTTTTTATGTCAGGAATGTAATTTTTTAATGAGTGGTTGATTAAAGGTTTTCTTCTGCTCCTTTGCTTTAAAAGAAAATGTGAAAGGAAAAATGAAAAATTTCTTTCATAACAAGACATTGAAAAATATTTTAATATATATTCCAAAAGAGTTGTAGATTTTACATCACCAGACAACTAAATGGTCACACAGAGCATTACCAAGGTATTGCTTTTTCAGAGCATTTATAGTTTTCTCCTAAATAAAGGCTGAAGAGGATTCAGGCCTTTTGTTTAACTATCTGGATTTTAAATTTAAAATGTGGTCTTTGATTTTATGAAAACTTTCAAGTTCCATGTATTTCTTCTTTCACATCTAACTTCGAATTATTTTTTTTTTAGCTAAGATGATGGCTAAAGTTGTAAATACTCTTTGAAGTTTTAAAACAAAAACTTTGGAAGAAAACTGGAAAGTAACACAAACTGCATGTTCAGCTTCAACAATAAAATACAGTATCATTTGAATATATCAAATAGACTTGCTACACAAATATTCTGTTAACCATACAAAAAATAGAACCTACAGCATATAAATAACCTAGTCTCATGCTTGCCAAAAATAGACAAATGACAGATTTGGAGTTTTCTATCCTCCAGACAGACATTTTCTGTGTCCTACATGATGTGGAAAACTGCATTGCTACTTTGACTGCAGAAGCATCATGGGTGGACATCTGTTCCTCTAAGGGAAAGCACAAAGCGGGTTAAATAAATATTCCCAAAAGTAACATCAGTGTTAGCAATGGAGTTGATTCTCTCATTGGAGAATCATTCTCTATTTGTTAGAATTTTTCTAAAGAATGGGTATTTACCAAACTATAAAATGCAATTGTTGAACCAGTTGTGTTCATTGTATACTGCTATGTGAAGTGCTACTTGTGTTGATTTAAGTATAAATTTCTCACAGAAGTGGACTGTCTATGCTAAAGAAAGATAAACAAATACGGGAGTCTGAACAACCTTTCATGTCCACTGAGGAAGAAGGATTAGGAATTCATTTGTTTATCTGAATGTTACAGTGCCAGTTCTACCTAAAATATAACACATTAGTACTTTTTAGGTCACTATAATATACAAACAAAGAAAAAAAGAACCCTCTGTATGATATTTGGGGGTTTTTAGCCTTTTAACGAGTAGTCTTTTAGAAAGTACGCACTGAAATTTTCAGCAAAATATACTTAATAGGCTGCTTTAATGTAATACTTATGTATTTTAATTTCCCTTTTGTGTTAGCTTTCTGAGAAATATGGAGTCCATGTTTGCGGAGAAGGTGGAGAATATGAAACATTCACTCTGGACTGCCCTCTATTTAAGAAGAAAATAGTTGTGTAAGGAACAGTTTTTTCCATTTCCTTATATTAAAGCAATGGGAACATATTCACATTTAGCTTGAGGCAACTTTTGTTGGCAGAGGTAAAACATGTCCTCTAAGTTCACAAACACTCACTTTGTTTAACACTGGCAAAGTCCTCTGAAAACCTAAATCAATACATGACAAGACGAGGCCTTCATAGAGGGCTATAAACTTTTTAGACATTTGCACTTTCGTTTACTTGCTGATTATGGCCTGCAGTAAAACTGGTACCTACACACTGACACTTTTATCCTTTCATGAAGTGCGAATTGCCTGTAATATTTATCTTTCATTACAGCTACATTTGATAAACTGCCACATCAGTAGCCTGTGGGTTCCATTAACTGTGTGTATGTGTGTGTATGTTTTAAGTTTAGCAGCTTAGAATGATAACGATAAACATTTTTCTTCAATTATTAGAGGATATTTTAAATACAAACTTTGTATGGATTCATCTCATTTGCATTGAGTAGTTTATTCCTTTGACATAAATTGCTAAGATCTGAGTAGTGGGATATGGAAAATATTTGTGTTTTGATGCAAGTTTCTTATTAGTCTGTTAAATAACTAAGTCTGCTTGCTTTGGGTATGATATTTTGACTGCTGTTCCTTTTCTTAACCAAGTAAACAGAATAGTAATCATGTGTCGGTGATACTGAGTCATCTTAGGGAAGGAGATTATGGAGCATATAGACATGATTAAGGCTTTCATGGCGAGGGTCTATTTGTTTTATTTTTCTTTAAGATTGGAATCTCTCCATATAAAGAACAGAGAACCAAGAGCTATTAACTTTGTTTCATTGCATGGCATTTGGGAGAAGAAGAGCAATAGACTAACTGGTAAAAGGGATGGCAGCTACTCTGGCAGATCTCTGCTGAATTATTGGTTGACTGGAAGATATGTCCTCTGAAGTGAACTAAAAAAGTAGATAATTTGAGTCTGGAGATACCTCCATGCAGCAAAGCTAGGGAATTCTTTAGTAAGAAGAAGGTTCAGAAAGTAACAATGTCGAATCTTTAAACTGGATTTAAGTTTATGGATGGAATTATGAATGTATGGGCCAGAAAGTGAGCCTCTTGGAGAAGATTCTTTGAGGGGAGCCAGGTGCTAGGTAGGAGCTGTAGGTTGTGAGCCAATCTGCTGATTAGGAGGAGTTGGAAAGTTATGCAGGAATTTAGAATAAAATGTGTATGATGCTTGGATACGTTTTATCACAAATAAACTTGGGGACAAAGGACAAAACTCTCCAATATGCCCTCAGATAGAATCAGTTCAGTCTTTTCTAGCAAAAAGGAAAATACTGTGACATCATTGCTAGAGTACGATTAATTTTTGCATTTAAAGTCTGATATGATTTCTGTTAAGCTGACAAATTCTTATCAATTCCAGTAGGTGTCAGAGGCAGAATTTTGTGAAACTGTCATTTAGAGTAATACTACCCGTTACCAGATAAATGTAGCCTATTCAGCATTTCTATTGCAAACTTGCAACAAAAAGTATACTTCAGAAGAAGGATAGCTAGATTTTAACTGAGAGATTAAATGTGCTTGTATCAGTTTTTGCACTTAAATGTCTTTGGCTGATTATTTACATTCTTTCTATTTATTTTGAAGTTTTTTATGTTACAGATTAAATCTGGGAGTTCATTGGAATTGGATGCATAATTTCTCAGTACTCTTTTTCAAAGCTCTCTTTGCATAGATACAACAGATTGGAGAAAACTATGTCAAATCCCATGAGAAATTCTTGGTTGGTGAAGTGTGGAAATTATTAGATTTTTTTATTAATTTTTTTGCATGTGTAGAATTTGAGGAACATTTTTAGGAGAGTACATTGTTCCCTTGGTTCAGGATCAGCCAAATACCAGTTTAAATAGGAATATCTTATAAGATATTCTACATGTATTTCTGGCTATCAGTTGTTTAATGACTATTCAGGCAATTAGGGAAAGCTAAAACAGAGGTGGTCCGGCTAAGTTGTCTTTATATCTGTTGGTGACACTCCAAGTAATAATAAAAGTTTACAATAAATGCACAAAAAATACAGGAAGAGACAAATTTGTAAATCAGTGGGTATTTAATAATAACTATATGGCAGAGCAGACTGTTAAACAGTTATTCCACTAGTTCTAAATATACGTTTCTGTAATGGAAACTGAATAGCTACACTGGCAGTGTTTGTCTCTGGCTTGATTAGTCCTACTTAGCTCTTACATTATTCATATCATAAAGACATGCTTTTTGAGGGGCCATTCATGTTAAATCTATTACTTTATGAACTTCTAAAGAAAAATATTTTGTAGTTTCTTTGTCATTAAATAAGTTACAAGTTTATTTATTTTGTACTTTTCATTCTTACTTTTCACACACACTGAATCTAAACAGAGTTTGTAATTACGTTGTTAACTATGCTAGTATAGTTTCCAAATGTTTAGATAGCCATGGTTCTGATACACATACTGATACAAGTTTCGAAGCTTAAATGGAGGAGTAAGAATTACAATTTAGAGGTTAAAACCTGTCAGGATTTTCAAGGTCCTTAAGTTCCTGAATTCCTCCAAGATGTCTTCCTAGGGAAAATTTCTGAGGAAGACATTGAAGATTACTTTTGCCTACAAAACAAGTGTGATGGATTAACCTTAGCTGGCTGCCAGATGCCCACCAAGCTGCTTTCACTCCTCCTCCTCAGCAAGACAGGGGAAGAAAATAAAATGAAAAAGCTTGTAGGTCAAGATAAGGACAGAGTGATGGTTTACCAATTACTGTCATGGACAAACCAGACTCAACTAGGGAAAATTAATTTAATTTATTGCCAATTAAAAAAATAGAGTAAAACAGTGAGAAACAAAGACAACAAAAACATCTTCTCTCCCTACCTTCCAAGGCTTAACTTCACTCCGTTGTTCCTGACTCTTCTACATCCTCCCCAATGAGAAGGGCAATGGAGATCAGAATGGGTTTTGTGGTCAGTTTATATCAATGTATCTCTGCAGCTCCTTCCTATTCACACTTTTCCCCTGCTCATGCTTGGGTCTGTTCCATGGGCTACACTCCTTCACGAACTGCTCCAGTGTAGGTATTTCACGCAGGGCAGTTCTTTAAGAACTATTCCACCGCGAGTCCTTTCCATGGAATACAGTTCTTCAGGAACAGACTGCTTCAGCTGGATCCCCCACGGTGTCACAGTTCTTGTCAGAAAACCTGCTCCTGCATGGTCTCCTCTCCACTGGCCACAGTTCCTGCCAGGAGCCTGGTCTGTCATGGGGTCCTCCACAGGCTGCAGTGTGGATATCTGCTCTAATGTGATCCTGCATGGGCTGCTTCACCATGGTCTTTTCCACAGGCTGCATGGAACCTCTGCTCTGGCACTTGGAACATCTCCTCTTACTCCTTCTTCACTGACCTTGGTGTCTGCGGGGCTGTTTCTCTCACATTTTTGTCACTGCTCTCACAGATGCTGCACAGCATTTTTACCCTTTTAAAAATATATTATTGCAGAGGCACCACCAGTGTTGCTGATGGGCTCAGCAGCCCCTGGTCTCCTCTTGCAGAGGCCACCCCTGCAGCGTGCCTGCTGCTACCAAAACCTTGCCACATAAACCCAATACAGCAGGAGAAAATTTAGTACACCTGTCATTAATAACACTACTTTGACATGGTGTTTTCACTGGTCAATGTTTTTGTCATGTGAAACTTGCGACAAAATATGTTTCTACAGTATATCCATTGAAAAAGAAGGAAATCTGCTAGTTTAGGATAAGAAAAATATAGCCTTGATGTGTTAATCATTATGGAGAAGAGAGAGTCTCTTTAATATAAGACTATATGATGAATTGTGCTTTTTCATTTTAAATTGAATTTTTGCCATTCTTCTCAATCTTCATTAAAAAATATGCCTCACAAAGGAAGCATGGTATATTGATTGAAATATTTGAAAGTAAACAAGGTTTAGCGGTGAAAGCAAGATCTTAACAATCATAATACTCAGCCAAGAGTTAGGTGGGGTTTTTTTCTGGTTTTCCCAGGTAGACTGTTGTAATCCAATTGTCAGCTGTGTTATGCTCACTATTTGAGAGGTACCAAGCATTTCCTGTCCTTCTTACATGGTATTTAGAGTGCAATTGATTGACACCTCTTCAAATCATAAAGATGTATTTCTCATCTATGTGAATGCCATCTAATATCTACTCTTACGATAAAGGCCCATTTATATTTATGGAGCACAGACTTGTTTGGGTTTTTTTTCAGCTAAATTGGCATATTTGAAGTATTGGGGAAGTATAATTTTGCATTTATATACCTTACCATTAGCTCTGTGTTTAGGTTTGTAATTCTAGGTTTGGAGTTAAAAGCAAATCTGTAAACGTGAAAAGATAATAATGTACTCAGAACATTGATTGTACTCCCAGACTTGCTCTAACTTGTCGTATTTGTCCTGTGAAAATGATACTGAGTGTTTAAAAATTATCAGATATTTCCTACATATTCAAGGAGACTTGAGAGATCAGATGATTATGATTTCAAAAAATAGATAATTAAGATGATTTTTCAACCATTCTTCATTGTTTTCCAACGTCTTCTGAAAACGTTCCTCAAGCAGATTCCTGTGTTTCTGTCATAACCAAACATGAATCACATTGTATAGTCATGTTCCTACTCAAAATTCAGACTTTCAGAATGAAATGGCCTTTATATAGTTATCAGAGTCTCTCAAATCTCTGTTTTTCATTTTAGATCTCTGCTTTTCATGTGGTTTTGAATTGTTGGTTTGGTTTTGTTTTTTTTTTTACTATATCCTAAGCTGGACATGACATGTAAGTTCAGGATTTCCTACTTTTTGTAATTGTTGACTCGCCATTGGGTGCAAACGAAACTGTTCTGCTCTCCACCTAGTCATTGCGTTTACTATTGAAGAAGACTGTAAATTTTACCAGTTAGAACAATGATATATGTTTGGAGAGGCTCACAGAAAATGAAGTAGTTAGAATAAAATATTTTCTCTTGATATGTATTGTAACACTATTTTAAGCACCACATAGTCCACCTATTGTGTCCCATTGGCTGAGAAATATTGACATGTTAAACTAGATATCTGTTATGGTCTCATGAAATACCCATGTGGTATCTGCATGTCATAGGAATGTACTTCATACAAAGAATAAATACTTGTGATCTCTTAATATTTGCCATACTTTTTGAGCAACAAATAAGTACTCAAAAATTGTAAAGTTACTGACAGCATAGGCATCACTGCATAGCATCTGTTCTGATGTAGTAGTGAATTGGAACATACAGGGATACAAGTAGAACTGCTTCTTTTACTTTGGAGTTAAATATATGTTTTAAAGTTACTAGGTGTTCTTTAAATTCAACAGACACGTACATTTAATAACCCTAAATTTTGTTTTTTCCTTTCTGATATGTTTTCTGTTAATTTAGTTTTAAGTAGTTAATGCATCACTGAAAAGTACCAGACTTCCCCATATAGGACTTGAACAGCAAGCAAGAAATGTTTGTTGAGAATATCCTCAGACACTGAGGACATCCAGGTACCAGGTGCTACTGGAGTCTTGATGTCTGTTTTTCATTATTTCTGAATATATATTCCTATTACTAAAGATTTCCAAAGTTATTTTTTACCTATTCCAGTTAGAATTAGAAGACATCATGATCATTTGAAAAGAATGACTTTAACCTTAAGGGACCATCTTTAAGATCTCTTAAAGGAATAAGTGATATTTTAATCATAAAAAATCTTGATAATAACTCTCAAGAATGAAGCTGTCGGCTTATTTATCAAATTACTTTAAAAGTATGTGAAAAGGGAAGTGGAGCTTCTTATGCTAAAGCTTTATTTATCATTACTGTGCAGTATAAGTTATGATGATTATCTTAGAAATTAAAAAAAAAAATTTAAAATAAATTTTTTAAATTTAAATTTTAATTTTTTATTTTTTATTATTATTTTTTTTAAATCCCAAAACACATTTTATAGAACAGATATTTCTGTTAATTTTACACTTTCATTAAGTCAGTGGAATCTAGCCAAGACTTCAACTGTTTCCAATTTGCATGAATTTTATGTGGCATTACTAGAAATCTATTTATCTCATCTCATTGAATACTGTAAAGGTATCAAGGGCGCTGTGATTTCAAGAAAATTATCTGTGTTTCCTTAGCCTTACTTATAACAATTTCCATATTTACTGCATCTGAGATTCTCTTGTGTTTTCTTTGAGTTTCTCACCTTCTGATGTTTGCTTCCTAAAGCTACCTTTTTCTTAAGTAGGAAAACTATGCAGATGGATATAACAGATACTGCCTCTTGTGAATCAAAGTGTGACAGATTGTGTCTGTACAAATGAAAACTAAAATTAACTAATTTGAATCAGCACACAGGAAGTTTATCGTTGTTACGAACACATTTGGCATTAAAAAGTTGTGTCTAGTAGTCTTCAATATCAGATGCAAGATGGTCGAATCAGTCAGTTTCTCAGTATGAAATATTTTAAGTTGTTAATAACTTAAGAACTAATCCACGGAGCATTAGTCTACAAGAATGGACTTTTAAAAAAAATCTCCTATTGATGAAATGAAAAGATTAGTTTACATAATAGTCTCTAGAATGTAAAACAATGTCATTTATGCTTTCATAGCCTACAGCTAACTGAATCTCTCAGTACTGGTCTGGAAGTATAGTTTATTCCTTTTGAAAATTAGTGAAGATAATGTGTTCTTCAACAACATGATTTTATGAAGCAAACTTTTTTCTTAATTGATATAAAAGCTAAATATGAAATTGATATATTTTCACTGAGTTACGTTGGACGTAACTAAGTATTGTCTATATGTAAAATTACATGCTAATATTTGATGCTAATAATTTTGTATTTCAGAGATTCAGCGAAGGTGGTTGTGCATTCGGCTGATGCATTTGCACCTGTGGCCTACCTTCAATTCTTAAAATTACACCTGGAGAATAAGGCAAGTAGATTGCATTCCTTAAAAGCTATATGCATGCTTTCTATTTTTATGTTGCTTTGTCACAGTTTGCAGTGAAGCTACATATTTTCATGTGGGTCTACTTTCAAATAGCAATGTACATATTTAGTTGAATTTCAGAACTTGCCATAAGGAAAAACTCAACACAAACACTACCTTGTGTCAAATGAATGAATGGAGGTGGTATATTTGTGTGGCATTTTTCATCTTGAAACCTCAAGATGCTCTGGCAACATGGTTCAGTCCAAGCACATGTGTAACCTGTGTGGTACAGCTAGCCACACTGTGGAACACAGCTGTATTAGGAAACTGTGAACCTGTTGATTTGCTGGAAGGTGGCATCTCTTTTTGCTGTTTCTGATGTGAAGTGCATGATTTAAAAATGCGCTGATGTGCAAGTGCTCGAGTTTTAAACGTACCGGATTTGAGGTTTTCTTTTCCATATGAAAGATATATCTAATGAATGCCTTCAAATCGTGTAGAAGAGATTATCCTGGTCAAAAACATTAAGGGAATCATTAGTAGTTCACTGGGATTCAGTCTCAGCTTATGATTCCATGGAAACAGCAGAACAGGAATAGGGACTCTAGTGGTTTAGATGTTGCAAACTTTTATGTGAGCAGAGCTAAGAGGGACAAAACAGAACTTATTTTTCTTAGTATTTGTCAGCACTTTTCCACTTTTCTTTATTTTGTGGGTAAATGATTTGTTTTTTTCCCTCCTGAACATCTGTAAGTGCCAGTATTTTGGTGAAGAGAGTGCCTCATGATCTTCCTATTACTGTTGCAGTCACAGTCATCTTTTTTTAGATCCTACTTTCTGCACTTTGGACATCACTGAAGCTCTTCTAGGTGCAGGGATTGTTATAGAACGTTATTGTATTGGTATTTTACATTTAATGTCTCTTGATCAACTACATTTCCCGAATTTCTTTGAATAGATTATGCCTTTCCCCCCTCACCCCCCCCGCCTCTTTTTTAATTTTATGGTTCCAAACAGATAAATTACCTGTACATTTTTATTCCATGATGACCTCATTCCTGCCTTGGAAAGTAAACTGTATTCCATCCTGTCAATTTGTAGTTTGGTATTTCTTTTGAAAATAAAACATTAAATATTTGTGTGAAAATGGTATCAAGTAACTATGTGAAGCAAAACCAAATAGGCTGAATAAAGGAAAATTTGGGAGCAGGGCATGGTGGGGAAGAGTAATAATATATTAATATTTCTTTGGGGGCACTGACTTTATTGCTTGTGGCAAACTTGATGCTGAAATGCACCATACATCACTGCAACGTGACAGGCTTGGGAAAATGAAAAACACAAAGCTTTACATAAATCAGGGAAAAAATCATATTAAAATGCATTTTATATACGAATCAAGATTTTATTTTTATCTGTTCAGAAGCTCTTTTCCCTTTCTTAGGTGGATGTTTTAGATTTGGTTAAAGCCTCAGTTTCTAAGAGTGTTGTAGTAAATCATATTTCAAATTCATTGTAGACAAAGCTGTCACACTCTCAAAGGGGTAAGGTTTACAGAAGCTTGCCTGGATTTTGGTAGATAAACTAATGTCTTGTATAGTTAAAAGGAAAATAGTCTCTTCTGCAGTGGTTGTCTCATAAGGAGAAGCATTTTAATCTTTTGGCTATAGATTATTCTATGTCACCATAAAATAAGCTAGATTTTCAAGAAGTTACAAATGTGGACAACCAGTCAGTCTTTCAGAGAATAATTTGTTACTAAGTTAGCATGGTTTAACTGTATTTTGATAAAGAGATGCCTTCAAGATTGATATGACTGTAGTACTGTACTTTTTCTCACTATTTGTTGCTTACAAGCCCTACAAAAGAATTTAAATATCAGTTAGTAATTCAGCACTTAAAAGCCAATCCTACAATAACAAATCACTGCAGGAAAAAACTGCTTTAGAAGGAGAACTAATTTTAGTTTCAGGCTTTCAAGGGATTACTGAAAATTGGGAAAAAAATACTCCATTATGAGCAATGTATAAAAGTAGCTACTTATGTAAGCACTTTGTAGAAACCTTTAATAGACTGCACAGTGATGTGTAATTCTAATAAGTATTATGACATCAGTTTTGTTATAATTTCAGCTGAGAGATACAAATTTTAAACTTTTATTGTCGATTCATTTTATCTTAGTTATGTGCCACAGGTGTTAATTTTACATTCTTTGAATTTAGTTTTATAATCATTATGCAATTATAGCTAGTGTACCTTAGTCTCTGCTGCCTTTCCTGCCTGTAATGCATTTTCTTTAGCCATTTCTCTTCATGTTTAACTACAAAGCCTGCGTAGAAATTTGTTTTAGATTGTTTCTGGCAGCAAAACAAGCCCTTGTGCCTGGGGGAAAATAACATTTTACTCACTGTTCTGGTTTAATACATTACTGTTCAACTTCAAGATGTATTTTTGCATAATAATTTAAGCTTTTTTTTTAATGCAGCCACATTTCTTTCATTAACAGTGATACAGAAAAGGCTGAAGAGATAAATAAACATAAGATTTTATTATTAAAACATTATCAAAAGTTTGGTAAACATAGATTAAGATAACTTTTTGTAGGCATTTTACAAAAACATTAAGAATAAATAACAATTCTAATAAAACACTAATGCTCAAAATTCAGGAAAAAAAAAAATGCCCCATTTGCTTCATTGTAAAAAACAAGGTCATCGATATTTTCCTTTGCCAATAAGACTGTCGCTTTGTTCATTTAAAATGTAGCATGTTTTTTCTTGAGGAGGCGGCAATTTCTGAAGCATACTCCAGAATCTTTAAATCAAGTGTTTCGGCTTTTGTATTCAATACAAATTTAATTTTTACTATTTCCAATTAGGAAAAAAATACAATTGTGAAAGAATTTTTTTATTTTGACAGCATAATGAACTTGAAAAGCATTTTTATTTTCCCTATATCATGCTATTCTGTTACTCTGTTGTGTTGACTTTTGAATGATCAGAAACAGGAATCAAAGCTGTTGGAGCTTCTGCTGATGTGACCATACTTCTGATGACAGTAGTGAACATATTAGCTATCACTCATGCTTGAAGATTTGCTCTTTCCTGCATTTAATAATGAGTGCTGTGTTCCCGAAGTTCCAGTGAGCAGGAGCACAATACATCAAACAATATATGCGTTGAAACTGCAGCCTCTTAAGTTGGGGATAGTCGAGAATTAGAGAGAGTCATATAGTTTTCTTTCTACACTTGGCAGAAGGAAGGAGCCTGTTTGCCTGTAAACAGATACAGGAATCATTACTGCTGCTGCTTTTTCTCATTTTACCTACCATAAATTGATATCTTGAGGCTTACTTCTTTTCCTGTTTTGAGAAATCTTGACCTATTTGGGTGGAACACAAGTTCAAGAGTTATACCTCTGTTAAACATCAGCAAATCTATTTCACAGGTCAATTTGGAGATGATTTCAAAAACACTTGTAAAAGTTAGAAAAGGTGTTTGGGAGATATTTACATGCCTTGTGTACTAAAGGGGTGTGATGCTGCAGGTTAGATTTGCTTTAACTTTGTAGCCTCTTTCTGTCCAGTTCCTTCTGGCCTGAATTATTTTATTTAATCTCCATTTAGGACTTTAGATGTATAAATAAACTTTGTAAATGATGTCAGGGTGAACAGAAAAGAGTTTCAAGTTGCAAAATACGTTTTGTTGGTGGCATTGTGGGTGGCATTTTTAAAATATTTTGTCATCATTGAATGATACTTCTCCTAGGTAACCTTTAGTTTCCCTTCTATATCGTAAGAATATAGGTAACCCTTGTAATTGTGATTTGAAAACTTTCTAACAAATACTGCAAAATTATTTTTGTGCGCTGTTTTATTTGAAACACTAAGATAATAAATAAAGGATTTTATTTCTTACTCCATTTGATATCAGATTTAGTCCAGTTCTCTGAGAAAAGAGATTTTTTTTGTTCTCTTTTCATAATGAAGAGACTTTATTTGAAAGTCTTCTGGAGTAGAGGACTTTCTTTCCTATACGTCTATTTATTGTACTTGAAATACTGCACAGAGATGTATGTGGTCTTTCTCATTATATTTCAAGGAGTTCTGTTATCAAGGTACACCAAAAGAATAAAGAGATTATCATAGTCTTTCCTTATGTCTTCTGAGCTCTCAGCCCCTCCTGTATTCTCATTACTGCTCAGTGGGAGAACTATCAGTTTTGGAATTGTGTTGTGATAGGTTTTTATACCAGTTTCTGTAGTGCAGAATATAAGCTTTTTAAGAAGGCAATCTGTTGTTTTCATAAAAGACCACTGCGTGGAATTTCAGCTATATCAGTCAAAGTCCTAGCTCCGAGGCTTTTTCAACAGGAGAATTTGGATCTTGGAACACTCGTGCATTTGCTTAACTTCATTCTGAGTGCGCTTGCATCACTGACATGAGTTATGTGCATATAGTTAAGCATATGTATGCATGCAGGCTCTGATCCAAAATTAGGTTGGTATCACAATGTACAGTGGGTGTGGGAGAAACAGTGTAACAAATGGGAAAATACATTGTGTCTGTGAAGTAACATGAAAACGTTATGTGATAAAATAGGTTCTGTGGGATTCAATTAAAATGTCATTATAGCAAGCTTGATTTTTTTGTTTTTAAAGTGATGAGAGTATTATTCGGGGAAAGTTAGTCTGTTTGTTGCAGTCTGTAACTTCGAGTTTTAAATTCTTAGATTACTTTCTCTGTCGACAGGAATGGAAAACCAACATTGGTATGAAATTCGAATATAGCTACTAAACGGAGTCTGGCAGCTCTACTTAGGCTGGCATTGAGCCTGTTGTTCTTCTACTGCCAGGTTCCACACCTAATACTTCTGCTGTAGCCTGCACCTGTGCTGCTGCAGAAAGTGATTGATTATCTATGTTTTTGGAGCATTGTGGGACTCAGCCTTGAGTGAATCATTGTGGTGTATCATAGGCATTGAAATCAACAGTAGTCTGTAATTATTTTTATGGTCTTTGGTGTATGTAAGACACATCATAGAGCTTCTAGTACTTTTTAGTAATTTCCAAAAATTTTGCAGTTGACCAGCTGTTTGAGTATGTGTGTAAACACAGATGTATAATTTTATTTATATCTGTGAAGCAATATTGATATAAGCCTAACAATTTGTAAAATATTGGCATATTTGTATAGGAAAAAGGGATGTGACTGTGGATGATATGAAAATTTAATGTGGCATCAATTTGAGATATTTGTAATATTAACAAATTACAAAGCTACAGGGAAGTTCTGTAAGTTAGACCAAACGACTTGTGATACAGTCTGTGAGTCTCACTACATCCCCATGAATTTTTTATGAAGCACATTTTGCAGAAAACATATTTAGAAACATAGTTGAAAAAACACTTTTCACAGATGGCATAAAAATGGAATAGGTGCTCTTTTCATGTTCACTTGCAAAGTGTATAAATTCAGTCCTCCTGGTTAGGGAATGGAGAGAAGTTTCAGGTCTCTAATACTACCTACACAAGATACCTGCATCTCTAGATCTCTTAAGAGGTAATTATGTAAAGCTCAACGAAAGTGAGAAACAAAGTGGCTGTCAAACTGGCAAGCTGGAACTTTTCTGTTTCCAGTTCACATTTTTTGCATGGTGATGGATTATTATACCATATTGAAGTTAAAATCCAGGTGATCTAAAAACAATACGCAAGGCAGCACTGTGATAGTATCATTCATATCACCATGTCTGTGCATGCTTACTCAAGGGGCAGGTCTAAGAGGGGCAAACTCTGTAACGTTTGTATGTTACATTAGTACTCAATGAGTCCCTGTGCCATAATGCAAATTGATTGTTTCATGATGGACATTGCAAATTAGACAGTGAAAGCAACTAATTTAATAAAACAACAATTTGCAAGAGGGAAATGGTAGCACATTTAGTGCTTCTTACCACTATGCAGTCTGTATATTTCTGTAAAGCGACGTCTTGTGCATAAAAAAACAGAAACATAAAAAAAAAAAAAAGGAAAAAAAGGGATTTTCTTGGTTCTGGTAGCATAATTCAGCTTATTTCAATTACAGATTTGTGCTCCTGCTTCTTTATTTTCTAAGTCATACCTGAAGGGTTAGGGGCTATCAGGCAGCCCTCTGGGTAACGGCAAAATATATCAACCAAGAGCAGTAGTTGAAGGTGCAATTCAGTAAGTGGGAAATGGTGTAGATGCTGTTGGATGCTTGTATATCGTAATGTTGGAATGCATGTCATGTTTGTACTAAATTGCAGTTTTCATCTTTGTGCTATTATGTTACATTTAGTTGACTTCTTTTAACCTCTCATGTACAATTGATTCACATAAAGCAGATTATTGCCTTGACTTTCATGCCTTTCTTGGAGGAATGAATAAAATGAGGTCCAATCAAAGAACATCAGCCCCTCTTAGAGCATAGCTTTAGTGTTTACAGTGCTTGTAAAACTCCCCTCGAGCCCTTTTAGAGGCAGCAGAGCTGAGTTTCCTCTCATAGGTAATGACCTTTTTGTAATTTAGCCTTTCCTGAGAATTTCAAAATACACTACTTTAACTTAGCTGGATCCTGTTTCTCTCCAGTGAAGTCAAATGTCCATGTAAATGCGGAGTTCTCATTGCAGACTTCTGATGCGTACTATAGTTTTCTGCCTTTTTTTCCTCACTTTGTTTTTTTTGCTTAATATTAAGAGAAAACTTTTGAAGTTGTAATAAGATATGTTTTATTTTCCAAAGGAAAGGAAAAAATAGAATAAAATTATCTTTTTTAAAAACGTCTGTTTTCAAATTTGATTAGTATTTTTGAATATATCCCATTTTGGTTGACAGCTTGTTGAGATTGAATTGTTAAAAAGCAGAGAATGCAGAGAATGCTTAAGAGTGTTTTGCTGTATAATGTTAACATTCTTTTTCATAGACATTTTGCATGAAAATTCCATAGATAGGACACTAATTTGTAAAAGAATATTCAGCAGTTTCTAATCCATATGTAAGGATTGCCAAGGGCTTCATATTTTGTCAGTTTTTTGTTTTGCTTTATTTGGCTTTATCATCATTTTTGTCAATTTAGTATTTAATAAGCCTGCAGTAAAATGCGTCGTTTAGACACTATATGAAATTTTAAACTTTTGAGCAGAAAACTAATCAATAGCATCTGGAGTTACAGCATGCAGTGATGTTTGGTTAAGGTTTATGGATAAATTCTGTCATAATTCATATTAGTTTTAGACAAAGACAAGTAGTATTACCCAGGCTAGTTATTAATCTCCAGCTGCAGATTAGGCTGCCCTGGAAAATCAAATGGAAAAGAGTATAAGTTCTGATAGCTCTAAAGTTTTGGTTTTTTTTTTAAATATACATGCTGTAATTACATGACTTGTTGAAAATATGATGAACACAGAATTTTGGAAGACTTCTCAGTACGCACTCTGCCTATGTATTTTACTTTAAAAGGTGCACTGAGTAGTTTTCTCTTCCTAGGCCTAAGGAAGCATTTGAGAAGGAGAGAAGGTACAGTGAATTATTTTCCTTCCTTGTCAAGAAATTACTTTTATATATAAGTATTGGGAAACGCTCTTTTCTGTATCACAAAACTCTGAGCATCCCAAAGTGGGGTGAGTTTGGTGGAGGGGATAGTTTTTGTTAAGAGGAATAGAAAGAGATATTTTTTTTTTACGTGGACTGCATTCATTCAAGGTTCCATAAAGTTTTAAAACTTTCTTGTTAGTCTTTTGCTGTTTCAAGTGTTTAGTGAGAGTGTTAATTATCAAATTGTTACTTTTGTACTTTTGTTCCTTTTTTCACTTAATTTATACTGGTTTTGGAAAACGTAGTTGTCCTGTATATGATTGTGGAATAACATTTCTTCATCATAGTACTCTTTCTGTCTCTTAGTCTTGAGTCTCATTGTTTTTCATATCTATCGTTCTTATTTACTACTAAGCTTGCATTTTTATTGCATATGATATGTCAACAGGGGCACATTGTATTCTGCCAGATTCTTCAATCTAGATCGTGGGAAATCCTAATGCTATTCTTCCATGAATTGTTCTAAGCTTAAGTACTCATTGAGCTATAGTATTTTCTGTAATTGAAACCCAAAATTCGAATGATAAAATGTACTGATTTCATACTGGTTGGCATGCTGTTTACTTGCTTATTTTATAATGTTTGTCTCAAGCAGGGAGAATCTTCGTGTACGTTTATGGTCAATAGCTGTCCTTGTGAGATAAGCTGTAACAATGACGATATTTTCCCTTCATCAGAAGAGGATGAACCACAGAAGAACATTCCAGTCATCTGGAAGTCTTTGAAACACAATTCTCTGGATTTCAGTGAGTCTTGCACAACTTTCATTAGAAAAGTAATATTGAATATTTCATACCCTAATGGAGTACACTGTTAATTAGTATAATAACACTCCTAAAAGTAATGTTTGTGACCTTTAATAACCTGTCTGAAAAAGAAGAGATCCTACTACAATGCGGTTTTCTGATAGGAATCAGGGCATCTGTAATAATAAAGCATTTGAAGTTATTTTACAGAAGGATCATAACCCGTTTCTTTCTTTCTTTCTTTCTTTCTTTCTTTCTTTCTTTCTTTCTTTCTTTCTTTCTTTCTTTCTTTCTTTCTTTCTTTCTTTCTTTCTTTCTTTCTTTCTTTCTTTCTTTCTTTCTTTCTTTCTTTCTTTCTTTCTTTCTTTCTTTCTTTCTTTCTTTCTTTCTTTCTTTCTTTCTTTCTTTCTTTCTTTCTTTCTTTCTTTCTTTCTTTCTTTCTTTCTTTCTTTCTTTCTTTCTTTCTTTCTTTCTTTCTTTCTCTTTTTCTTTCTTTCTTCCTTCCTTTCTTCCTTTCTTTCTTTCTCTTTCAACACACATTGGTGTGTTCTGTTTGCCTGAATGAAATTACTATAATCTAATAATTCATTTGAGTGGAGAGATTGCGTTTTATTTAAATGGTCTAACCACATCTGTACCTATACTCTACTGGTTTTTATTTGAAGTTAGAAAAACAAGCTCTAAAATGAAGTACAAAACTCAACCACTGCACTTGCTTACATAGTGTATGAGTCTTTCCCCACTCAAACAACCTCAGGGTGACATGCATGATCAAGTTTAGCAGCTTAGCAAGTTACTGTCTCTTAGGTGAGCTACAGTAACTAATCATATGCCAGATATTAGCACTGCCTCAAACATGAGGTGATTAATGCAAGATGAACCTGAGTTCATACATTGGTACCTCGCTGAAGTACCACAGCATCACTGTTACCAGTTACACCCAAAAATATTAAACTTTTCCTGAAAACTAAGTTTCATAGTATAACAGTTTTTGATATTGAATGGTATTAAGGCTCTTGAATATGGATAAGTGCCTGGCGGGATGTTAAAAAAATACCTAAACACATTATGCGTTTGCGAAGAAGATCAGAACCAGGTTAAACACCAAACTTCCATTAAAATTTGGCATATAAATTTGAAAATCTGTTCCTATGTCATTTAGATACTTCTGAAAATTTTAACTTTCTGAAGTCATGTCTTGTGCCAAGTCTGTATCAAAACAGGTAGAGAGATTGTAAATGGTCAGCAAAAACGGCAAGAAGGAGAGAATGTACTGAAATTCTCAGCTAAATACCACTTGCAGGCATATTTTCTGGAGGCAGTGTTGGAGAAGGTTTTGTCAAGTAGCATTTGGGAGCTTTGTTACCATCACACTTACTTTTAAGTTTTTGTTTTATAACTGGTAGTCTGTAAATACATTTTGAAGATGTTTTTACAGTCTGTGAATTTAGTTTTTTTTTCTATATAACTTCTTATTATTTAAACAATTTAAATATATTCTAGGTTAACTTGAAATCTCTCATTATTGTAATCATAGAGCTATTCTTTGTTTCCAATAGCTAAGACGTTTGGAAGTTCAGGAAGATCCCTGAGTGGTTACCAGTGGTTTTCAGGTATCACTGCCTACTTTCATCCGTCAAAAGGCAAAAACACTCAAGAGGCAGCAAGGGAAGCATTTTCCTCTCTCCAAGGTGCTTTATTCAGTTAGTCCATTGTCTGCTGTTAATTATATTGGTTTTAATATGGTATTAAGTAAGAATCTGTATTGTCGTATGGTTTTATAACTTTAAATGTTGTGGTTGTCAGTTTGCCATCTCATTTTGCATTTGATTGGAATCATTGATACCAAGACTGCCAGCTTTGATATTGAACACATCATAATTTGACTGGCTTTTCAAGACCCTAGAAAGCCAGAGTAGTGTTCATATCACTCTAACAACACTATTTCCACAGTACTTACTTGCTTTATAACTTGCTTTATAGCTTTCTTGCAATGTATACTCTGTGTGTGAGTATGCATATGTACTATGGATGCTGTCTACTTGCTAAAGCACTTTTGTAGCTACCATAATTTTAAATTAAGTTTTCTAGAAGGTTGTTTCACATTTTGGCGTCTAGGATTAGGTCAGTAGCAGTAAATCACATTTATATTCTTAGTGTAAAGGAGAAATTGCTGTCTTGGGAATCATGAAATCCAGGTTCCTTACTATCCTCCTCTTACAAGATACTGACAATAAAATAAAACGTTCACATTTTTGGTTTTGGGTTTTTTTTTTCATTCTAAATTTTAAGTAAAGCATATTTATACAGGCTTCTTTTCATTCATAAAAAAAAAGAAATAATTTTTAGTATCTAAATAGGTAGGCTTATATTCTTGTTCATGAATTTATGTGACGTATTATCCTATAAAATCTTATTTTTTGCATGTGCAGCAGAGCATTCACGATGGAATACAGGATGATAAAGAAACCCTAATTTTTTTTTTTCAGAAGCAAAGAAGTTATACTTTGTAGAAGGTCCTTAAGCTAGTTTTTGGTTGCTTGGAAATCAGCACGGTGGATGTGATCAAACTTGTAGTAAAAGACAATAGTATTTAGTGTAAATCTTCTGGACATAATGTGTAAATTGAAGCAAAAGGGTTGTGTAATGTTCTGTTTTGTTCTCATTACATTTGAATGGAAATCTGCCAGTACAAACATTATATATTTTTGCCTTAGCATCTGTCAGAAAAGATTGTGTCTCTGACTAGTACAGTAGCCTATACCTTTCAGCAAACTACTTGCATTTGCTGTATTATAGTCAAGAAAAATAGTAATTTTCTGATCCTAGGTAGAAAATGTCAGTTCTCACATTTCCTTTCTTTTTTCATTTTTGGAAGTGGGTGTAGAAGACTGAATGAATTATGATTCTGTCATGGCCAAAGAAACAATTTTTTTCTGAGAACTTAACTGATCTGCAAATATGCACAAGGCTTTTTCTGAACTCATACTTACAATCTGTACAGAAATTCAGTCATCGGTGCTATGAAAATGGAATAAGCACAGTTCTTTTAACCTTCTCTTTGCTTGGTTAACTGATTTAATCACCTCTAAAGAGGATAAGTGCTGCCAAAAGGATGTAGAAATAGACATTTATTACTAGACGTTATGAAATATGTGGTTGTTCTGTAAAGTGGATGGAATTCTTCCATGAAGCCAAGAACTGATTACTATTTACATTTCTTTTCTTAAACTCTTTTTTTAAACTTTTATTTAGGTATGATTGGAAGATGACAAAGATTACAGTGCTTTATATATGTATGAATCAGCTCTGGTGTAGCTGTACCATGGCACAGCTCCATAGGCCCAAGGGAACTACATAGATTTTTATTACACGAAAATTTAGTCTAAAATGCTACTTCTTGTACAGTTTTGATGCTGTCTTTTGTGGCTTCCAACCTAAGAATCCTGGATAACCCATTTTAAAAAAATTAAGCTGTATTTTGGCCACTGTTATTTTTTGGGTTGGTTCTTTTTAGACAGTTCTGCCTAAGTAAGGGTAAGACTCACCTGATGGTATTTTATGAATGATTTAGAACAGTGAAGGGATTGAAATTCCACAAAAAGCCTGTATAGTTTCCCTCTACATCTTGGAGATGTGCTATGTAAGAGTCTTGTCTTGGAAAACAACATTTTTTCAAGAACCCAAGTGGTGGGTTGGTAACTCGTTCATCATTTATGCCTTTCTACTAGATACAATGCTTTGAGAGGTCACTTCTCTAATTCATGCAGAGGAAAAGGAGACGTTGCTTTTAATTACTTTAAGAAGATTTTTTAAAAAAAATAGAGCTAGAAATTACTAATTTATCCAAATTTCTTTCATTCAACTTGCTCTAATACTGTTACATCTCCACAAATTAGTTTGTTGGCTTTTGCATTTTAAATTTAGACCTGGGCAGAGGGTTGGTTGGTTTGTTAGTTGGTTGTTGGTTTTTTTTTCCCCTCCAGTATTCCATAGAATGTTGCAGCACTTTTAACTGCAGGCCAAAAGTCTTTCTTCTTGACTAAAATGCTGGCTGGAAATCTGAAAAGTGTCCTTGTTTCCTCCTTGACTGATGACACAGCAGCTGGTATTGACCTAGTGATTGCTATCAGGCAGCATTCAAATGCATTTACATTTCTGGGCAGCATTATCATTGTGTGATAATTTCTCAGCTGGTATTTCTAGAGATGTATCTTGACTTCATAGGAGTTCTATGTTAATTGCTATATAATCTGCTTTAACACTTAGCGCACGCTTCCTTTTCTGTCTATGAGAATTCCCTCTTCAGATAGCCTCTTCTTCTAATTGCAGTATGACTAAGTAAAGCTGAGACATTTAGAGCAAAATTCAGTGTAGATGTGACCAGATTGGCCTTTACAGAAGTGTGCCAACTCCTGAACTGTCTTTAAAAGCACAGAAATGTTTTACACAAAAAGTATTTGTTTCTCACTAAGGCAACAGCCAACAGAGATTGTCTTTATACTCTTGTACTTCTCCACTGGAAAACAAATATATAGGCATGTACCGGTACACACTGTAACATTAAAGGACAGGATCCCCAAAGTTACACTGAGAAGAGCTTTATGTAGCTTCTTTAAATTATGTCACATGGGACTCTGATTATATATGTTCTATATTCAGAGAAGATTCTGTTCTTCATTTAGTTTCTATTGCTCATGAGTTACAAAAGGTCCATGCTGCAGATCTGATTCACATATCTTGTTATGGTATTGACTGTTTAAGAGTAATACATTCTCCCTTAAGTGCTCTGACTGGAATCTTCTGTGCATACATGTTCAGATGATCTTCACTTCCCAGTATCTTTTCTTAACTGTCTGCTTGAACTTTCCTCTGCTCTCATCTTTCCTTCATTTCTCTTGTGGCTACTTCTGTTTCCTATTGTCTGTCTTGCCATTTATAACTCTTTGTTTATGCGGAGATTGCTATTGCAGTGAGGGTTTTTAAAAACGGCTTAGACAAGCATCCCTCTGGAATAGCATATAAATATTTGATCTTTTCTTTGAAGAGGGTGATGCACTAAAGGACCTCTTATTGTCCTTTCCAGTTCTGTAGTTTTGTGATTCAAAATCCTTTATAGATTACTAGCTGTCATAGGCTGAAAATAAAAAAAAATACGAGATCATAAAACAAGGAATTCGGACTGTAACATATCTACATGCATTAATGCATGATAAGTTTTCTTGGGGCAAGAATTCACCACTGCTCAGGTTGGATAAAGTTTATTTGTATTCTGTTTCTGTATTTTTGGAAAACTATCATTAGAAAGACTTTAATGAAAAACAGATATTATAGGGGGATAGGTAGTATGCTGCAAAGCCTTCAGTCGTGTTTAGGCAACTGTTAGGTTATTACCAGTTGGTTTTGCTGAACAAAAAAAAGGATGCCTGTGCTCTCTTTCTACACACATTTAAAATATTCTGTCTTTAATAACTATATTATTTTTATCCTGCAGCTAATGTGGCTTCAGAGGGATTGAAACTGAAGGATATTATTTTGGTTCATCTGTATATGAAGAGCATGAAAGATTTCAATGTTATAAATTCAGTTTATGTGACAGAATTTGATTTGTGTCCACCAGCAAGGTAAGATTAGACTACTGCTATAGTATATTTATGATACAGTGTAATTTACTGAGTTATTGTTACCATATTTATGAAGCTTTTGTCCAAATGTTTGTGCCTCACAGTCTTAGAAGTAGACTTTTCCTGCCTTTTGGAGTAATCACATCAGGGCTTCTCAGCTGAAAAACACTAGGATTGGAAATTCTTGCCTTAATATATACCATAAGTTTTATAAATGCCCACCCTATGTGCCCTTACAGAAGAATAATACGTTTTTTGCAAGTCTCAGTTCTTCTCTGTGACTTGATTGAACTGACAGGTCTTTTGTGTTGGTGAGATTTTGCTTTTCTTGTTTGTTTGCCTCCCTTGACGTGCTCGCAATGCTCCTCTGAATGCAGCCCAGGATATCATCAGCCCTCTTTGCCACAAAGGCACATTGCTGGCTCATGTTCAACTTGGTGTCCATCAGGAACCTCCAAGTCCTTTTCTGCAACGCTGCTTTCCAGCCAGTAGGCCCCCAGAATATACCAGAGCATGGGTTTGGTCCTCCCCAGGTGCAGGACTTTCAACTTCTCCTTGTTGAGCTTCAGGACATTCCTGTGTGCCTGTTTCTCCAGCCTGTTGAGGACCATCTGGATGGCAACACCAATCTCTGGTCTATCGACCATTCCTCCCAGTTTGGTATCATCTGCAAACTTGCCAAGAGTACATTCTGCCCCATCATCCAGATTGCTAATGAAGATGTTGAACAGAATTGGACCCAATGTTGGCTCCTGCAGTACACCACTAGTTACTGGCCACCTGCAACACTTTGTGCCACTAATCTCCACTCTCTGAGCCTGGCTTATCAGCCATTTTTCAGTCCACTTCTCTGTCTACTCATCTAGCCCATACATCAACAACTTCTCTATGAGGATGTTGTGGGAGATAGTGTCAGAAGCCTTACGGAAGCCTTACTATCAATGATTATTAAGTCTTTCTAAAAGGGATGAGGTGTGGAACCTTCCAGGTCCTTATGACAAATCTTATTCACTTTGTTCTGTTTATTTTGATAAATAGAAAAGCAAAATGGTTAGCTGAGAAGGTGCCTAAGATGCACGTCATTTGATTCTGGGAGATACTTCAAGACAGTACCAATATAGTTACTCTGTTCTTCCCCTGCTTGTATGCCCTTGACTGTGGTTGAAGGTGAATACTGGACTAGATGGATCTTTGGCTTGATCCAATATGATTGTTCTTCATGTCTTGTGTTGCTGTCAGATAATGATTGTTAGGGGGTAGTTTAGCTGCACTTATATATTCAGTAAGAATGCAAGTATGAAAAGAAATTATTTCAGAATTCTGAATACATTGGTGCTAACACTTTCATTCGTAGATCCCCAAATTATTGCTTTTCAATATCTGTTGCATAGAATCTTCAACATTGCACCCAAGTTCATCTCTGACATAATGAAACATCCTGATGGTCCATAGGTATTCAGTATGTGATTCCTGTGTTATTTGGGTGTGGTTTTTGTTTTTTTTTTTTCCATTGAAATTGAATAACAAACACCTAGCCAATGAAATTTTTGTTCTGCTTTTTTAAAATTTGTGTACTAAAACTGATTTCCATTTGTAAATTCTTTACTACCTTTGTCAAAAGGGCTTATTACAGTAATTCATGTTCTTAAGCATTTGAGATAATATGCTCAGTCTGCAGAACTGCTATAGATTGAAAAATTCAACTTGGATCATAGGTTAATACAGGATGAAGGGAACCTCTGGAGATCATCTAGTCCAATCCCCTGCTCAAACCAGGGTCAGCTATGAGGTCAGACTTCATGTCTTGTTCTTATTTTTAAAACCAACTGTTTAGGAATTTTCTGATGTAATATACTATATTTTATGCTCTTATTGCAGAATACGAAGTGTAGCATAGGCCTGTGAATTTTAAGTATGACATGACAAATAGTTAAAAGACATTGTTAAGATAATATGTATCATGATAGATTCACATTCTCCTACACTATCTGAGTGTCAAAGGAGACTAAAAGAGAGCAAGAAGAGGCTTCTTTGAGATGCTGATTGTAGGCCAGGATTACTAAGTCACAGAGGAATGGGGTGTTGGTTGTGTGTGTTTTAAGAGAGCTGTAAACTACACAAAAGTGAATCTCCACTTCTATATATCTTAAGTTCTGTTTATGACACTTACCCCTCTCCTGATTTGGCTTCTTTCATTTCTCATGCTGCTGCATGTTTTAAGCCTCTACATTTGCATAGTCAGACACGTAGTCTTCCATCACTTGAAATAACAGGTAGAAAGATCAGGAAGTTGCAGGAAAATGGCTTTTTATAACTATTTTTATTGAACAAACAGATTTATGTTGCATTTTGTCCAGAAGAGAAATTATACAACAGTTTGCATGGCTGCATCATTGCATTATGCACAGAGACCTGGTTGTGGGAGTTCTCACAAGCAATGTGCTGGAAGCACTGATTCAAGGGTGTGGATCTGCACTAAATTTGCAAAATTGTCTTGAAAATTTACCAGCCCAAGCAGAAAATCCATTCATCCATGCCTATGATGATGGTAATGAGGAAAAAATACTGTATTTGCATGTGGGAGGAGGGTAGAAAAATAGTTTTCTTGGAAGAAATAAGCAAGATTAGAAGAATTTTTAAGGTTATGTTACATGATATGTAAAGAGAATAAGTAATTTTTTGTTGGATTTCTGCTGGGAGGTAAATGGCTTTTTTATGCATGGACTGCAAATATAATTGTTTTTCAGGCTTTGAAATGTTGATTTCCCCTATCAGCACCGTCCCCCTGCCCTGCTCCACACACACACTTTTTCACTGGTCACATGCAACAGATCTTCTGTCTGTCTGTCCATCCGGGCACTCAGTCTTCCTTGGAGCAAGCAAAAGTGAACTTTTTTAATGAATACTTAAGTAGGTTTTCAGTCGTGTCTTAAGTGTATGTCTGTCATGCAACTTGAAGTATAACAGAAAAATATGCTCAGTAGAGCATGATAAAAGCTATAAAGGAACAATAAGCTTCTGCTTCTTAGAAACAGGAACCTTTAGTCCAACCATTGGGAGGAGATTCAGTGACAAATGCATGGAGGTAGGAATATGACAATGATACACTGGGTCTGAAGGCTGCTTAGCATAACTTATCTGGCATTTCCAGAGTTGTGTGGTCAAGGTTTTTTTAATAAAAGAACTCATGTGTTCTTAATAAAGTGATACACATCACACAAATAACCAGTGGAAATGAACCATTGGCTATGATGGTAGTTTCTCCTTGGTAGTGGAAATTACCTTGCTGGAAGTCTGAAGCTGATCGTTATTTGGAGAGGAGGTAACAGTGTAAATGCTAGCAGGTTATTGCCATACTGTAGCTTTGGTTTATGTTCCTGACAAAATTTCATAACATATTAGCCAAAAGAAAAACCCATGGAAAACAAATGCTGAAAGTTGGTGCAAGCAAACTCTCTGTTTGAAAAAAATAATTGTCTTGTGTTTTCAGAGTATGTGTGGAAACCTTGTTATCTGATGGAGTACTGTTTTGCATTGACTGCCTTGCACATAAGTATGACGTTGCAATGGATGATGTGTCACATGATGAAAAACTGGTCATGCATGTACAGAGCATTTCCCACTGGGCACCTGCCAGCATAGGACCTTACAGTCAGTCCATCAAGGTAGGGAATCTGTGTTACTTCACGTGAACTATATGTCAGTTTACTGAAACAAATACGGTTATAGAGTCTCCTTCTCTCCCATCTGAATGTGCTAAAGGAAGTGTGTAAAAAAACCATGAAAAATTAGCATTTTGAATTATTATTTCTAAAACTTACGGACAAAACAAAATGTTAACCTGCATCAGTTTTTCATTTAAACTTTCATAAAACAGATTAAATTATTCTTTCTAGAGAATCTCAAGAACAGCTTACTTTTGTTGTATATTATAATTAGACCAAATAATTGTGTCACATATACATTTTTATAATCTGCCTAGAATTATAAACAGAATTTAGGAACTCCAAAGATATTTGAAATTTGTTTCTTTAAAGCGAGCAAGCTCAAAACTTAAATCCTAAAATGCTGTTTTAATGAAATCCCTTTTGAGGCTCTTGATACTGCTTAACCATTTGAAAGTACAGCAAGGTTGAAGAACTGTTCTTTTTTTCAAATTAATAACAAACTGAATTGAATATTATATACTATTTAAAAGCATGTGAAGGAGGCAGTAAAGTTTCATGGAAAAGATGACCTAAACTTGAGTAAAAAACTTTTTTCCTTATATGGTATCTCTTACCCAGCTCGTACTGTTCTGACAATTGATGAGGTGTCTTACCTTTTCCGTTGAAAAAAAGGTGCATATTCCTTTCTTACCAGTACTCCTCCTGTGTAATATGAATACAGTCATATACAATGTCAATTTTATGTATGTCAATACATTGTCCAGTCCAAATTGCTGTGTTGTGCAAACTGATTTAAGCGAGATGTTTTGGCATCTGTTTAAATTTCCTGAAGCTTCTTTGAATCTGCAAACCTACCAAGTATAATGGCCATGGAATTGTGCTTTGTTTTGTCTTTGTACTGTTTTACAGAAAATTTCAGGAATAATATTTTGCTTCAGAAGCTTATGTAGAATTTACTTCTTTTGCAGGAGGAAAAGTTGGTAGATAAATACTATATTAATCTTGTGGTTAAAGCAGGGTGGGTTTTTATCGTCTATGCATATCTGTTTTTCTTGAGAAAGCAGAAAGTTGGTTTATCAAACTTTTTTCCATTCCGTCTTACACATTGACAGTCATAATTGTGTCACGTCATGCATAGTCCTGCAAAGATAAAAGTTAATAAACTTTGCCCCTTTGTATTTGAAGATACTTCTCTGATATATCATTGCAACTAATCTGTATTACTGTCCTGGAGCTGGCATAGAGTAAATTCAGAAAAAAGCATGAACTGAAAATTGCTTTAGTAACCCAATGAACAGTCCCATGCTGCAAACAGAGAATAAGCAGGCACTGCCAGTCTCTTGGATCTCCTGGTGGTATGGGACAGTCAGCATAGCCACAGAAAGGCTCGTTTCTCTTCAAATACAGTGTAACTGGTAACATTGGTCAGCAATTAAAACATTAAGGAAAACTTTCCACTGGTTTTTGTTTGTTTGTTTTCCTCAAGGGAATGTTTTAGTCTAGCAATGTTATTATCCCTTAAGGTGGAAAAGTATTTTTACTTTTAAAATCCAATGACTACAGAAGTAAAGAAACAGTAATCAAAAGCTGCACCTCTGCTGCAGGATGACTCATTTGCTATCCTTTATAGCTAAGTTCTGTTTCTAATCCACAGACACCTGTATGGGTGTCGTGGGTTATGTTGAACCGCC